TTAGGGCTTGAAATATATCATTGCAGGTGCTCCAATCCTTTAGAGTTACACTGATGCCTTATCATATAAGGCAGTTGGTCCTTCTCCCTTGAATTTTAAAATCTCTCTTTGCTCTGAGTTTTGGAATTTCATCTGAAACACAGAATGGAGAGTTCCTTATTTGATTATGCCCATTGGGGATTCTAAATGCCTCTTGTGTCTTGATGTTCACCATGTTTTCATGGCAAAAGAGATTTTCTGTTAAAATTTCATTGAATAATAATAATAAATGTTCATTGAGTAAGTGTTTTATATTATTCATCTCTAGCTGCACTCTTTTCTCATGGCCCGAGCATTCAATTTGGTCATTTTTTTATTAGAGGTTTATACCTATACATAGTAGTTGAGTTCATTCCAATATGCTCCCCCTTTTCTGGAAATTGATTTCAGTTCATGATGCCCTTTTTTTCTTCCCAATCTCCCTTCTCTTTCCCATTGTCCTTCCTCTATTCTACTAGACTTTTTTGCACTTGCCCATGAATTTTTATGTGGTTGGTCCTTTGTGTGATCATTCCTTTACCTATTTCTTTCCATTAATTTACTCTAGCTTTCCATGTGAATGAAAACATTTGAGTTTCTGATATTGGCTAAATTCACTTCATATAATAGTCTCCATTTCTATGTATTTGCCAATAAATACCATAATTTCATCCTTTTAAATGGCTGAGTAGAACTCCAGTGTGTGTGTGTGTGTGTGTGTGTGTGTGTGTGTGTGTGTGTGACAGTTTCTTAATCCATTTATCTATTGATGGGCATCTGGGTTGATTGCATAATTCAGGTATTGTAAATTGTGCTGCTATCAACATTGATGTGGCTGTATCACTGTTATATGCAGATTTTAGATCTTTTAGGAAAGTACCCAGGAGTGGAATAGCTGTGTCTTATGGTGTGTTCATCCCTAGTTTGTTGAGGAATCTTCAAACTGCTTTTGAGAGTGTACTAGTCTGCAGCCATACCAAAAATGTTCACATGTCCCTTTCTTGGCACAACCTCACCAGCATTTATAGATGTTTGGATTCTTGACTGTTTGGAGTCAGATGAAATCTTAGCATAATTTTGATTTGCATTTTCTTGATTGCTAGAGATGTCAAATATTTCTTCATAATATATTGGTCTTTTGTGTTTTTTTTCTATTGAGAAGTTACTGTTTAGTTATTTTACCCATTTATTAATTCTGATTTTTTTTGTGTATGTATGTGTGCAGTTAAGATTTTTTCATTATTTGTAGATTTGTATATTGTAGATATTAATATCCTATTGGAAAAAGTAGTTTTCCAAGATTTAATCCCATTTGTAGTTCTGTCTTCATGCTCTTAATTGTTTACAAAGCAGTGCAGAAGCTTTTTAGTTTAATACTATACCACTTATTGATTTTTGTTTCATTTCTTGTGCTCTATGGCTCATGTAAAGGATTTTGGTGTCAGCTCCTCTGTGATCGAGTGATACTCCTGTTTTCATCTAGCCATTACAATAGTTTCTTGTCTAAATACTAGGTCTTTGATACATTTCAATTTGAGTTTTGTGCAGAGTGAAATACAGAGTTCTAATTTTACTTTTACTATATACAACTGTCCCATTTTCTAGCATCATTTTTTAAAAGGGTATCTTATTCTGAGTCTCCTATTCTTACAAATAAATTTAATAATTTTTTAAACTCTTTGAAAAATATCATTGTTATCATTGATGGGGATTGCATTAAATCTGTATATTGCTTTTGGTAATATGGTCATTTTGGCAATATTAATTTTGCCTATCCACAAACATGGGCTGAATTTTCATCTTTAAGGTCTTCAATTTTTTTCAGTGTTCTATCATTTTTATTGTAGAGCTATAATCCTCCTTATTTAGGTTAATTTCCAAGTATGTTTTTATTTGATTTGATATTATTGCAAATGGGATTGTCTTCCTGATTTCTTTTCTCTGAAATGAATTATTTTTGAGGTATAGGAAAGCTATTCATTTATGGATATTTAACTTGTATCCTGCTACTTTGCTAAATTCATTTTTAAGCTCTAGAGGTCTTCTGGTGGAATATTTTGGACCCTCTAGATATAGGATCATAATGAGAGAATAGGATCATATTGTCAGTAAACAGAGATAATTTGACTTCTTTTCCTATTCATATCCCTTGATTTCATTTTCTGGCCTGATTGCTTTGGTTCATTTTTAAAGGAGCATAATGAATAGTAATGGTGGGCGTGGATAGCTTTTTCTTGTTCCTAAGTTTAGTGGAAGTCCTTTTTGTTTTTCACCTTTTGGTATGATGTTGGCTTTGGGTTTGTCATAATGGCCTTTATGGTGATGAGGTAACTTCCTTTGATCTGTAGCTTCTCCCACTTTTTGTAATATGAATGGGTGTTGAATTTTATTGAAGGTCTTTTTTGCATCTGTTGAGATAATCACATGA